TCTTACACATCCTCTGATAGGTTTGAAAAAATCGCACCAATACAACGTGATGGCAACATGTGTTGAACATGTGTTACACCACATGTCACCCCTAAATGTGGCATGAGATAACCTGTGTAAAGGATAACCGCTAACTAGTGATTGTGATGAAACTGCGACATTCAAAACCAAAATTGATGTAATTTAAACTTAAGAAAACGAACTAATCTTGAAAACTATAAAAACCAAGGAAATTCAATAAAGTGCTTCGCATGACTATATGGGCCAAGCTAGACCACCCCGAGCTCACACATGGACCTGCCAAAAATTGGAAGGTATGTATACTTGCCCGAAGTTAACAGGACCTAGTTGAACTAGCCCAAACGAAAGCAGGTACCCCTACTGTAGGATCGAGAAGATAGGTCTAGAGGGGGGGGGCTGAATAGACACTTATTGAACCAAAGGTGCACTTTTTAGTTTTCTTGAAGTTTAGGCAGATTTTGGCACTAGTTAAGATACAACCAATACTTCCTACACATGCATATCTAGAGATAGGGCAGCGGAAAGAATACAACATGAAATTGTGTGGAAGTAAAGGGGTAGAGATGGGAAGATCAAAAGCAATGAAGACATGGTGGTTTTTGGCGTTGTTCCAATAGGTGGTGCTATCGTACGTCCATGTTGATGGAGACTTCAACCCACGAAGGGTAATGGCTGCGCGAGTCCACTGAGGGCTTCACCCATGATGGGTCCAAGAAGAAGCAACCTTGTCTATTCCACCACGGCTTACATCCACGAAGGACTAGCCTCACTCGGGGTAGATCTTCATGAAGTTGGCGATCTCCTTGCGCTTACAAACTCCTTGGTTCAACTCCACAAGATCTTGATGGCTCCCAAGTGACACCTAATCAATCTAGGAGACACCACTCTTCAAAAGGTAGATGTTGTTGTTGATGATGAACTCCTTGCTCTTGTGCTTCAAAAGACAGTCTCCTCAACACTCAATCACTCTCTCAAAGATTTGGCTTGGGTAGGAGAAGGATTGGAGTGGAAAGCAAATTGGGGAGGCTAGAAATCAAGGTTCAAATGGTTGGATTGGAATCTCTTGATCTCAACACATGTGTAGGTGGTTCTCTCTTAGAAAATGAATGGTGGAAGTGTAGTTTCGTTCTGATGGCTCTCCCAAAGAGTAAGTGAGAGTGGAGGGGTATAAATAGCCTTCACCAAGAATCCAACTGTTACAACCTTTTGACTCAACTGGGTGACACCGAAATGAAATCTCGGTGAGACCGACCTGTGTAAAAGATTTGAACGTTAGGCGTCTCGGTGAGACCGATGTGCGATGACCTAAGCAAGACCCCATCTCGGTAATTCTGATCGAACCAACTCAGTAATTCTGAAATGGTGTGAGAGGGTTATAGAAACTTGGTCGGTGCAACTCGGTGAGACCGATCGTCATCTCGGTGAAACCGATTTGTTAGGGCTTGGCTGTGGCTCTATCTAGGATCAACTCGGTGGGTCCGGATGTGGAGATTCGGTGGGACCGAGTTGGGCTTTTAGGGTTTGGACAGATAGGATTTGGAGAAGGTGGTTGAGGGTTTTTGGAGCAATATCTTCAAGCACTTGAGCAATCGAGTCATGATCGAAAACTCATCCTCTTTTAATAGTATTGTCTTTCTTATGGACTCAATGTGATCTTGGATCACTTAACCAAAAATGTAGAGTCTTGAAGCTTGTCCCAATAGATGTCCTTAATATTTTGAAGGGGTCCACAATCTTATGTCCTTGCCATGCCAATGTTGAACTTTTCTAAAACATACTAGATGAAAATATTAGTCCAACAATATGTATGTTAACATGAATTACCAAAACCATCAAGGGAGCAAATGTGCTTTCACCTACCTTCACAAAAAGAAGCCTATCCTAAAAAAATCCTTTACCATCCAAGAGGGCATCGAAAGACGAAAAGTTCTGCTAAGAAAAAAATGTTCGAAGTTAGAGAAAAAGAAACAGTGTTGGCGCGTCGGCACTGACCACCACTGGCGCGAGATTATCTTTTGAAGCACAAATAAGGGATTCAACACCAAGAAACTATATCTTGTCACTTTTGGAGAGTGTGTGCCTCCTAGATCAGCTAGGTGTGCTTGAAAAGCCTTCAAGGTGTGAATGAACCAAGAAGTTTGTGAGGGCTTGGAGATCGCTTACTGCGTAAACATCTATCTCAAGTGAGGCTTGACTGTGGTGGTTCATAAGCCATGGTGGTATAGGTTGGTAAGCACTTTGTGGGTCCTTGGTGGGCGAACCTACCGAGACTTTCACCTTTGTGGTATGTATTCTTTGAACCTTTGTGATTTGAACCTCCACCAGCGCAGCGTATGATAGCGCCAATCTTGGAAACAATCAAGGTTTGCGATCTCTCTCAAACTCTCTTACCTTACATGCAAGTTTTGCTTCCACACTTTACTCCTTTTTTAGAACTGCATGTGTATGGTGTTTTTAGGCATCCTTTAGCTAAGCTTTAAATTTGTGAAGATTAAAATTGACTCGATTTTTAGGTGGTTACTTCTTTTTTTGCATGGAAACTTTCGATCTATTCATCTTCAATCATGGCAGCACAACGAATACCAGAAGTAATAAAAATTACATCCAAATCCATATACCACCTAGCGACAACTATAAGCACTGAAGCGAGCCGAAGGTGCACTGCCGTCATTGCCCCTCCCACGCTGGAGCCGGGCAAAACTTGTTGTAGTAGACAGTCGGGAAGTCATCATGCTAAGGCCCCATAGGACCAGCACAGCAGAACAACAACCACTACCGTTGAAGAGTAGCGTAGATCGGAAGGATCCAACCTGAAAACACATGAATGTAGACGAACTACGATCAGATCCGAGCAAATCCACCAAGGACAGATCCACCGGAGACACACCTCCACACGCCCACTGACGATGCTAGACGCACCATCGGACAGGGGCTAGGCGAGAGAACCTTATTTCACCTTCAGGGAGCTGCCGCCATCTCGTCTTCCTGAGCAGGACGTAAACCCTAACAAAACGCGAAGACACAACTGAAAATAGAGCCCTCCTGCCAGCAAGGGCTGAGATCTACCGCGCTGCCATGGCTCTAAGGCCCCCGGAGACGAGGCGGACCGACGGCGGCGCTGACGGGAGGCAAGGAAACCCTAAATTTTTCTTGGGGAGAAGGCAGCCCGCTTCGGTAATTAAACCTTAGGTAGTTACTTCTGTTAGTCTATTCACCCGCTCTACACTCCAAACGATCTTACACATCCTCTGGTAGGTTCGAAGAAATCGTGCCAAAACAACGTGATGGCAACACATGCTGAACATGCATTACGCCACATGTCAGCACTAAATGTGTCGTGGGATAACCTCTGTAAAGGGTGACCAATAACTAGTGATTATGATGAAACTACAACATTGAAAATCAAAATTGATGTAATGTAAACTTAAGAACACGAGCGAATCTTGAAAACTATAAAATCCAAGGTAATTTCAATAGTGTTCACATGACTATATGTGCCAAGACAGACCACCCCGAGCTCACAAACCTCCCAAAAATTGGAATGTAACTGGCTCGAAGTTAACGCGGCCTAGCCGAACCAGCCCACACGAAAGCAGGTAGACCTACCTTCACAAAAAGAAGCATATCCTAAAAAAAGCCTTTGCTGTCTGAGAGGGCATCAAAAGCTGGAAAGTTCTGTAAGAAAAAAAAGGTTGGAAAGTTGGAGAAAATGAAACAGCGCCGGCGTGTCATCACCAACCACCACCGGCACCCCCCACCAAGCTTATGTTAGGATGCCTCGTCCGCCACCAGAGCTCCCACCGTGGTATGCATCTAGTTAGCTCTTAGTTCTTTGTAGTGTCTGCTGCCATGCCTTGTGACCTAGCTGGGTTGTACTGCCTGTGATGACGAATGATTATATGAGGCAATGCAGAATTATTGAGTCATCAAAATTTGCATCTTATCATGTTATTCCAAATCCTCTCGCTCAGCTTTAAAATTCATGTGCTTTGCATGTAATTTCTCGCTCAATTAACTTATTTGGCTGGTGTCAGTAATGAAGGTAGTGCGCAGCCACGACATAATGCACTATCATGTGTGTGCTCAAGTGATATGGATGCCAGTACTGAGTATCATTAGAAGTACACGAGGATTCCAGAAAGTTTTCAAATAGTTTTGCAACCACCACAGCCTTGCCAACAAAAAATTTGAAGTTGGAATCGCTATCATTGTAATTGTGTTTTTAATGCTGGGTGCAAACAAAACAACGCAGGATGTTATCCATTTGCAAGCTTGCCTTGTAGTTTGGACCTGTCATGTCAGTGAAAGATGCTAAACCAAAATCATGAGATTAAGCAGGTGTGAGGCTACGTGGCCACATTATAATATACAAGGTACAAACAAGCAGGTAGTTATGGACCAGTGCGGAATCTCAGAAACATGCAAAGGTTGAATTCACAGTATGAGATCGATCAAAACTTTTGTTTCCTTTCTGTATGAAGTATTCTGTACAATTCTACATATACACACACACTGGGAAAGATCAGCAATCCTTTAAAAGGTGGAAGCCAATCGCATAGTGCAAGAGTAGCTGATGTTGAGTGTATCTATGAGCTAAGGATGTTTAGGAGAGTAACTCTGCTCTGGACCAATCTCCGGAACAGAATTCCTGCTCCAGCCTCAAGATCTCCAACACTGCACTCTAGGACCTGCAACTGCTCCTCCTTGCAAACAACCGAGTTCTTCTTCTGGAATGCTTTGGAGACGAGAGACCATTTTGGCACTGCGATTTGCTTGGACAAGAGGTGTACTGTTGACTCGAGGAGAGAGGTGGTGATCTCCCTAGCCTCGCTCAACAGCCTGACCATCCTGCAGTCCTCCTTGTCGGATGTAACCTTCTTCGCGGCCTTCTTGAAATGTTTCTTCGCCTTCTTCACCAGGCGGGTGTAAGACTGGATCTTGACCTGAACAACGGTGTCATCTCCTTTTCTGGTCGCCACTTACAGATCTTGGATAATGGCCTTCAACTCGGTGAAGTCCTCATACATAGCATTGCAGAGATCTAGTAGCTCAAGGGAGCACTCGGTTTCACCTTCCAACATCTTCCTTTGCTGGGAAGAGCAAATTTGGTTGCTAGGAAGGCACATGATCTCTTCAATGGTGCTGTAGATGTCTCCAAGCCTCCTCAAACCATCGGAGATAGTCTCGATGGTCATGGAGGGTGAAGAGATGCTTGCCTCTAGGCTGTGCAGCTCCTCTTCAACCTTGGTGTGAGGCCTAGAAGGCAAACTAACTGATCTAAGATGGCAAGCCATATCTGTTGCTAAGACTCTTTCCTCTGTGTTGAGTACTTGAGGTTTGAAGATATGAGAATGAGAGAGCACCTTTCGGTTTGATGTGTTTAGCCTTCTTCTGAGGCCTATTTATACAGAGGAACTGTATGATACAGTGCCATTCGAATGGTAGACACAAGGAATCATGCCAACTCATCTCCACAGTTTTGTATACCAAGTTTGTGAGATCTGGTGCAACATTTGGAATCTTAGCCCATGTGTAGTTCAAATTCTTTAGTGCAGTAGCTATTCTTCCAATGAGATATCACATTGTCATGTTCCATTACTTGGCGACAAGAATCAACCGGAAGGTTTACTCTATTGGTGGATCTTGACAAAATTGTGTGTTCTAAATATTTTGTATGGTGTACTAACCGAGTATGGGTTGGTGCATACCTGTTATCTAGTTATTATACATTTACTGAATTGAATAGGTGTGGTGTGTTGCACAACACATGCTACTTGCTTGCTCAACCTTGGATATTCGAGTTGGCTTGATTTGGCCATGGATAGCAAGATCCACTACACAAGGATCCTTTGCTTGTTTCTGAGCAACACATGGCATCTGAATAACATGGCCATCTTGTAGAGACTTGTTGATGAGCATTTCTGAGTAACTGTATTTTCTGAAGATTCGTCTGAGTTAAATGCTCCAAAGTTGTTTTTTCTTGAAGACACTATCAGCAGCATAAACAGTAAACTGACGCTCTAAAAGGTGGGTGCGAATCACAGTGAACCATAGGCAATGTATCATTCAGAAAAGAAACTCTGCTCGGGATCAATCTGCTCAACAAAGTCTAAGCACTGCCCTCGAAACTCCAGTTTCAGTAATTGCTCCTTGTTGCATGGAAGTCTTTTCTTGGGGAACTTCTTGGAGACAAGATACCACTTGTTATAACTCGGCATGACAATTTGCTTCAGTAGGGAAGGCGTGGATGACTGAAGCATTGAAGCAACGACCTCTCTTGCTCCAGCCAACAGTTTGAGCGCCCTGCAACTCTCCTTGTCAGCTGAAGGAGATTTCTTCTTGATCTTCTTCCACTGTTTTGGCCCCATCCTGGTCATACTAATGAAGGACTGTATCTTGGCCTGAGAGCCAATGTAATTTTCCGACTGCTTGTCTTGAGCTTAGAAAAGCTCTCTGGGATGGCATTGCAGATGTTGATCAGTGCAAGAGAGTGCTCGAGCTCGAGCTTCACAGTTTACCTTTGTTGCTCTGGCAAAGGATAATTTGGCTGCATATGATCTCCTCGATACTATTGTACACACGTAGTCACGTACACACCTCCTGAAGCCATCAAACATTGTATCAATGGTAGCAGAAGGTGAAGAGATGTTCGCCTTCAGAGAAAAGAAGTTTTGCTGGCTAGCCATGGCTGGAATGGGGGATGGTGTGGCGTGCTTTCTATGAATCTGTAAATGGAAGAGAGATTCAGAGAAAAGAAATTTTGCTTCAATGGTGCTTAACCCGTATGGTTTGCCTCTCTATATAAGCACAAGCCATGCAACGGCTGGCCTTGTAGACAGGAAGAATCTCATCACTGATGGGGGTGCTGTGCCGCTGCCACTCACCTCCACAACAAGCTGATTTTTCTTTTGTATGTCTGATCAGTGTAAGTAGAATCTCCAACTATTCGCCTTTGCTTGAATTTATGATAACCATGTCATGTCTCCACTATGGGCAGCAAACTCATCTGCATGAGCGTGCAGTTTGATGTCAGATCCAGATCCAGATCATGAGATTGGTGGTGGAGGAGCAGTTGACTTCACCATTGGGCTCCAACACAACACGTTGTGTTTGTCTGGTGAGCATCGCTGGTATGTTCCCACTAGTGCTATAACTTCCACATGTGATCCTTTGCATCCTCAGGGTGCATTGGGTGCTCCTACCTAGGCCTATCACGTTCTCTTGTCCTATGTCATTGGCAGCAAGGAAAGGCACGGCAGTTTACTCGATTATTTTTTGTTCTCGTCATACGTGCATGCTCAAATAGTTATTTGATTAGGAATGTTAATATAGTAGCTTTGCATCGGTGTGTATTCTGTCAAAAAAAAGTTCTCAGAGTTCTCAAATAGTTCTTTGATTGGGAATCCTATTGTAGCTCTTAACATCCAATAAGAAAACTGGTCTGGATGAATTAGATTTTCCCTAAAAGAACTTAAACTGAATTCCTGATTGAAACGTTCAGACATCCTGTTTTTGTTCGAGGTGACGTTCTACTACTGTGGTGATATGTTTGACATTTAGTTGATCTTTTCTCTGTTTTACTTGGGTGAAACTCAGTCAAGTCCCCACGGGCGTTGAGATAGTGAGACTGGGAAGTGACCCTTTATCAGTAGAAAAACTGGAATTGAATGGCTACAATTTGGGTGATTGATTATTTTGTTCTAGAATTCCCGTGGAATGAGCTTGATCTGACAAGGTGCATCTATAATTGTGAGATGAAAGCCTGTGACGCTGCCTGGCATGTCTCTAACTAATCTCAGCCACTGCTGGCAGTGACGATCTGCAGCTGTGCACGAGCACATGCGTGCAGTTTAATTCCAGGAGATCAAGATGATGAGATCGACGAGCATGCAATGAAATGATGGATAACTAGTGAGATTGGTGGTTGGTGCTTGCTTGCTGGTGGAAGCATAAGTTGACTCTCTTCACCTCAGGGGCAAACGTAGAATGCGATGTGAGTGGTATCTGCTTTGCTTGTTTGCTTTGGGTTTGAGAGACATACTACATTGGTTTGTGAATTGTCCAAAGACTCGCACCAAATTGCCACTCATTTTTCATCACAAAAGAGAAGAAGAAAGCAGTATCGTCCCTGTTCTGGAACCCCAGAAAAATAGGCAACTGTTAGGTTAACTGCTAGCGAATAGAAAAAGGCCATGAAATTCAGAGTTGCCTATTTTTCTGGGGTTCCAGAAGACAGGGACGATACTGCTTTCTTCTTCTCTTTTGTGATGAAAAATCAGTGGCAATTTGATACGAGTCTTTGGACAATTCACAAACCAATGTAGAGCATAAATTCCTATACCATTCGAACGAGACCACACGGCATAAAATTGAATATACTCTTCTGGCAGCACCAGAGAGTGTTGCTGAAGCAGGGAGGGCAACTGAAGATTGATGTGCTGGTCAGGATTTTGACTGTTAGCTGTTTCTCAAACCTGTGCCCCAGTTCTTTGGAGTTAACCTGTACCTTTTGTTTGTCTCTGATGAATAGCTGCTGCTGCGACTTTGCATGCTGATGGTCTCCCTGGTAGTTAGTGCTATTCATTTGTGTGGCATCGCTAGCTGGCCCTTACCGACGGCAAATCTCGAGACCATCCCTGTGCCGTTCTTGTCAATTCAGTTTGCAGTTGAATTTGGTGCATCCGTTCATCTAGGTAACTATGATTGATTAGCATCGTGCTGTCATGCTACTCCATTATATTGATTCCGCACGGCCAGCAATTATATGCATGAACTCCTCACGAGAAAAGAAATATTTTATGTGCACGTACTCATTGCAACTCTGCATTAATAATATGAAGTCAGGACCTTTTTAAAAACACAAGTGCAGATCCTGCAATTGATAAGAGATCATCAATATCATTCTTTGTATTTGCAATCATGGCCTCGTGCTTTCCCTCTAAAACATAATAGCATTGCTGCGAGGTTCAGAGTCTCATGAGGATGATAAAGAATCTTCCAAGTACTAGAAGGGTTGGGCGCGCTTTGCTGTGCCGTTGAGGTTGTTGGGTATCTTAAAAAAATATCCACTCTGTTTCAAAATGCAATGTGTATTACTTTTTTGAAAAATCAAACCCTTTTAACTTTGATAAAATTTGTAGATAAATATATCAAATCCGGTATAATTAGATTCATCATGAAATGGGTTTCCATATTATTTTTGTTTAATATTGTGGATGTCGATATTTTTGGCTCTAAACTTGGTCAAAGTTAAAGGAATTTAACTTTCCAAAAAACTAATACCCCTTATATTTTCGAATTGATGGAATATTTAGTTCGACGGGGCAGGGAGGTGATGGAGTGTTTTTCTATAACACGGTGATTTGGTGGGCCTTTCACAGTGTGATTTTGTGTTATCCGCTAATAAACCCACATTTATGTGAGGAAACTTCTATGTAGGTACCTGCATGTATTATATTGATGCTACGGTATCAGATGGTGCCCTTTTTTCTAGGTAGTGGGAGGGTGCGCAAGATTGGTATGCTTTTATAGGCCAGTTGCTACTGTTTGATTTGAAAAATCATTGGCCCGATCAAAATAGTAAACCAAATATAAAATCGAATACCTCAATCGAATGAAAGAGCTTCAAAATTAGAGAACATAGTGAATTAAAATAATTGAATGAGAGAGCTCCTCGAGAAATTGTTGACCCGGTTAAAATCGAGTGACCCAATTCTAAATTGAACACATCAATTAATTGTGATGCCTTAAAAATTAGGAAGCATAGTGTATAGTATTAAAGAAATGAAAGGGAGAGCTTTGAGAAATTGTTGATCTGGTCAAAAATCGGGTGAACCAATTCCAATAAGAGACCTCAATTGATTGTGAGGCCTTAAAATTTAGGAAGCTTACAATTGTTGACCCGGTCAAAATTGAGTTGAACCAATTCTAAATTGAAGACATCAATTAATTGTGAGGCCTTAAAAATTAAGGAGCATGGTGTATAATATAAAAGAATTGAATGAGAAAGCTTTGAGAAATTGTTGACCCGGTCAAAATTGGGCGACCCAATCTCAATTGGAGACCTCAATTGAATGTGGGCTCTTTAAAACTAGGGAGCTTAGTGTTATAAAAGATATCCATTTTGCGGGGTATTCCTACCTTTATTTTAGCTGCTCGTGGTTGTTAACCTCATGTAAAAAAGTCTGGTACAGAGGCCGGGGTTACCCCTTTTGAGAAAAAAAGTAGAAGAGTCTGGTAGTCTTGTTCTGTGGTAATGATCTCACCCAATCAGACTAGAGAATGGATGCGGATGAGCTTTACTGTTACTGAAGCAGTGTCACCTAAAGATAAATTTTAAAATGCGGGACTTTTGAGCAGGTACTCCACTAGTACAAGAAAGCTTAGTAGTGGCATACCAAAATGGTCATTAGTGGTGTGTGTGTAGGGGGGGGGGGGGCTAATATGGCACCACTGATAAATGTTACTAGTACCATATCACACGCGAAGGCCGCTTGTTGCTCCCCCGCGAGCACCCGGGTGCCAAACCCTAGCCGCCGTCCACCACCACTCGTCCTCCCGAGAGTAGGCCATCTGGGCCGTCCTAGCCGACCCGGCCCGTTAGCATGCCAGCACGGCACGACACGCAAGGGGCCATGCTTGGGCCTGGAGGCTGGGCACGCGGGCCGACATGGCACGACCCGTTTATTTATTTTATTTGGAACTTTTTATATATAGATGGCCTAAAGAACATCCCAGTAGACCAAAACTGGCCCAAAAAACAGCCTAGCAGTTCAAACAACATGTGGGCCTACCGTGCTTGGCGTGCCGCCCTGTCGGTCCAAATAGCAGTTGGGTCATCCTGGGCCTGAGTGCCCCGCATGAGGGCCGGCATAGCATGGCCCATTTACTAACCATGCTGGGCCGGGCCGGCCCGTTTGGAGAGCTCTGGTTCTCCCCTCATGCCGCCATGCAAAGCCCGCGCGGCATCGGCGTGCACCTTTCTCACGCTTTGGCATGGATGGGGACGGCGCGGTCGTTTCAACCATGCAAAGGAGCATAGCTGCGTGGCGCGGAGGCGCAAGGAGTCACGGTTTGTCGGAGGTTTAACCAAGTTCAGGCCCTTGTGATGGGTAATACCCCTAGTCCTGCTTTATGTATATTGGTACTAGCTTACAACATACATGTTGTGGGTAGATTGGATATCCCCTACCTGGAAAGGGCTCTTGATGCCTTATATAGGCATCCTACTATTAGTAAACTAGGAAGTTATCTTTGGGCTATCCCCCACAATCTGATCTCGTATAGTTACAAGGATCATATCTCCCGCCACAGTTTGATCTGAGAAATAGTGTCCCTTTTCTTATCTTCTCCGGGCGTCGTCTTTGGT